AAGTTGACAAGCCAACAGGGGGAAGCAGCCAAGCTCGACCCTATCACGAGGGTCATGGAGACCAACGAATGCGAGGCAAAAGGTTTAAAGCGGCAGTGCAGCAAGCATACCAGCAGAGAGGCTGGCACAAGCTCGACGAACAAACCTGGAGGGAAGTCGCCCATTACGTGGGCCTTCGCGAAGAAGATGACGAGGAGGAGTGGGCAAGGATACTTGCCAGAGGCCCAACAGGAGGCACCCGAATGGGCCCCCCCACAGCCACAGCATCAGCACCACCAAGACACCAACAGCAGGACGACAACTGGGCAGAGCTCCTCAACAGGGGAAGACCACCGTGGACAACATATGGCAAAGCACAGGGGACAACTAGCAACAGCCAACCACCAGGTGGAGGAGCAGAGCAGCCACACTCGCAAGGCAGCACAGCAGCAAAGCGGGTCGCAGCCGACCCAACAAAAACAGAAGCAAGGGCACCCTCCAGCAGACCCAAGACGCCGCAGAGGAAGCGGCACCACTTCTACGGTGACCCAGCCAGCAGACGACCCAGCCCTTCCCCCCTGAATTGCCAGTCACATGGGGGGTCCAGGTCCACTTACGGGCAATGGCATACGGGGCATGGGCAGGCATCACGCTTGCCGAGGGCTCCACACTGGCACCCAGGTATGAGGGGAACAGCCACAGAGGCTTTGTCAGAGCCAAACAGTTCCGGCGACAGGGGGGGCAAAACCCCAATGGCTACATGGGCGTGAACGTGGCGTTCGCGCTGTTCCCATGGGGGGAGCTCAAGCAGTTCAGACCGGTCAAGTGGTTGATACACATAACAGCCACATCAGCAATACAAGACGACGAAGCAGCAGCCCTCCAACCGGGGGAGACCTACATCTTGGAGTGGAACCAAGGGGAACGCAGATGGATGCTAGGGAAACTGCCGCCGCGAGCAGCCAATCAATACTACTTCGATTGGGGCTACCAACAAGCCACTCCCCCAATCTACAACCCACCACCACGCACCGCCACTTACCCACCGGGGCAGTGGGAGGCAATGGGGTTGCGGCTCATACCCCGGCCCACACCTAACTACCCGGGGGACCCAGCAATGCAACGCAGAGGGGAGTGGACAAACCACACAGAGGCCAGGGGGAGCGGGCAACCACCACAACAGCAGCCACCAACGCCAGGACCAACACCACGAACAGGACAACCACGGAGAGGCAGCCCCACACCAGCACCCGAGCCGAGAGAAGACACAGACGCGACGTCATACATGCAGACACCGGCTAGCAGCAGTAGCCCAGCGGTAGAAGCCAGCCATGGAGTCACAGCCAAGGGACGTGCCACGGCCGAGGCCTGGAAAAGGCCCAAGCTCCACCCGACGGCGGCGATGATTCGCCATTGGCTGCGCCAGATCCGCGACGTGCTGGAAATGAAGGGGGGCAAACACGCGGCAGTGGACGTGGCAGAGCAACTCCTCCTCCTGCTCGACAACGCTAGAGAGCCGGCGCCAGACCCGCTGGCACGAACCAACGCCTCAGGGGGGGCACTCTGTCCCGAGCCGCCGCCTAAGCGCCGCAAGTACCTCGACTACCTGGAAATGGCATATATGCGCCTCTCCGACATAGGGGAGGAAGAGTACAACATGGACGGGGTCAACCAGCACTACGTCTACGGCTCCCTGAAGGAAATCTTCGAGGAGCTGCGCAGAGCCCAAGAAGTCCTCAACGTGCTGGTTGCGGACCAATGGGGGGCACAGGTGCAAGCCAGCTATGCTGGCATCCAGCAAGCCATGGCCGCTGTGAACACAGCCAGAGGGGCAACAGCTCAGGGGGACCTTGATTGGGTCACCGAGGGCTGGGGACAAGCAGTAGCCATGCTGCTGGAAGATGCAAGGGACCTCATCGAGGAGGAAGAGTCGCTCCACATCGTGCACCCAGCTGACGTCCTGGGACTCAACGAAGGTGGCCAAGAAGAAGTGAGCGCTCCCGGAGGGGGCGAAAACCGCAATGTCCAGCAACTGGTGGGCCACTGCTTGGCTCTGAGCAATATGCTGGGGGACATGGCGCAAGAAGTTCAACCTGTTCTTCGCCGGCTACAAGCACTCTTAAGCGAGCCCGTGACCGTCGACACACAAACGACCGAGGAGGGGGACCCTCCACCGCAGGAGACCACAGAGAACACGGCCATCTCGCAGTCGGAAATTGCGACAGTGCCCTGGCACCCACAGCCGGGAATGGACCAGTGGCCGGGGAGCATCCCAAGCTCAACCGACGAAATGGGGGAGTGTGAACATGGGCCGCCTAGCAGTCAATGGGGGCCATCCGATGACGATCTGGTGGCGGCCATGGAAGAGCTTGAACGTCAGCAAGAAGAGGAAATGCGCCAGCAAGCCCTCTCAGCAGAAGGGCATGGAGTTCACGCCTCGGGGGAGCACGAGCCGCCGGGGGACACCGTTGCCGATCCGCCGGAAGAGGTACTGAGCGACATGAGCCACGGAAGCCATAGACGCCGCAGAATGATGGCGGCTTGCTACGACAAACATGGGGGATTCTGGCACCCAGGGGATCCGTGATGTTCAGTTGTAATGTGCAATAATACCAGGCCTTTGTTGTGGGGAGCCAGATCTTGCCAGATGTAACTGATAGCAGCCACCGGTGGGGGACCCTGACCAACTGTAAATCTAGTTGGTAATCCAGTTAAGCGAGCAGTGTGACAGTTTCGAAGTATGTGTCCCAGCACCGCGGCGTGGCCCTCAGTGTGTTGTGCTGTGCTGCACCATGCCATGTGTAAGAGTGTTGTGTTGTCCTGTTGTTGCAACACAGCCTACAAACGCCGGTGGCCGTACAGATGCCACACAGCAACCCCCGAAAAACGGGGGAGAGGAGGCCAGATGCGGGGGGTTGTGTGCATGAGTACAGGGTGTAAAGGGGGTTTTCTAGTGCCAGGCCGATCCTCATCTTTTTGACAGTGTCACACAGAGTGTGAGACCGGTGCGCCTGCGGGCGCGGGGGGCGCTTGCGTGCTCCTTTGTCCGATTGCAAGCAAGAGTAAGAGAGAGAGAGTAAGAGAGAGAGTAAGAGAGAGAGTGAGACAGAGATGTCGAAAGTTGTTTCACTCCGACCTTCAAGAGCTCCGGTGCGGTGATGCGCTGGGCTGCGTGCACACCCTGTCCCTTGACTGTGCTGCAGAAGAGACAGAGAGAAAGGGCGCTCGTTCCATTGTTCACTGTCCTCCGAAAGCCTATGACCCGCTGGCGCGGGTGATGCTCCGCCTCTGACTCTCTCGCTGGGCCGCCAAAGGCGGCAAGTCCAAGTCTCTCGCTCTCCAAGCAGCTCAGGCGATTGCGAGACATGGCCGAGAATTCGGGGTTAGGCAGGTCGCTGGTGGATTGTCAGGATCGTGAGCTTTTCTCATCCGCCAGGCCTTGACCGGTTATTGATCAACGACCAAGAGCTGGCATCTCAGTTTCAGTCACTTCAGCGTGGGAGGCCTCCGTTTTTGCTCACCGGCACCCTTTTGCGCTGAGGCCAATGAGAACTGTGAGGGTTGCGAAGCTAGAGGAACTGAAGCCAGCAGTGGAAGCACATAGTGCACCTCGGCCTCACAGATTTCTGCCCCTGCGATGTCTTCATGATTTGTATAGCACCTCAGGCTCTCAAGTGGGACGACCGCCTGGCAGATGCCTGCGGTTGTGAGGGCATCGTTCTTAGAGACGACGAGTCGGATGGCACAGCACAGGCAGGGACCAGCAAACGGGTGAGCGGCAAGAAGTAGCGTGGCCTCTGCTGGTCGCGGTCTCTCCACTGGTCTGCACAGGTCAGATTTCCGCCTCCGTTAGGCTTCAAAGCGTGGCTTCCTACCAGCCACTCGATTAGCACTGTTCGGCTGCTCGGCAGTGCTATCAAGAGCTCGAAGCCGCCGTGTCTTTCTTGAGGCATGCTCCAAGAACTGACGCAGCCTTGCAAGCGAGTGAAAGCCTGCGAGACCCAGCAACTATTAGAAGCCGTCGAGGCGACAGGGAAAACGAAGGGGGGAGATCATGAGCTTGAAGGGGGCATGCGTGAGAGCTCACACCAGGCCCATTCTGCGCTGAAGTGGGACGACCGACTGGCCAAGTTGAGCGGCCAGGAAGGCTTTGTGGTGCAACACGACAAGGCTCCCTTAGTATGAGCCTTTTTTCCAATGTGTTGGTGCATATCCGGCTGGCAGGAGGATGCCACTCTGCAAGTTCGATTTCCTTCGGTCTCACTTACGGCCTGGCTGCCCGAATCGACTTTGACCTACCTCGAGGACAGCCAGCCCACGACAGAGGCAGTTTCATCAAGTGTTGCTTGGCATCGGACAGACTGACAGCGCAAATGCTTTTGGAGGCACCGGCAACTCCTGCAGAGTCTGAGGATAAGGATGAAACCGTTTGATTGAAGGGTAAGAGCAATTGATTGCCTGCAAAGGGATCCCAGCAGGTGTAACGACTAGGCAAAACAGTTATTTCGCCGGCCCCACCACAAATGGAGAGGGAAGTGGCCGACAACACCCTGGTCCCTTTGCACCTGAATTCCCAGTCTCACTGCCTCCGACTAGCTCCTCACCAGGCGCCCACTGCGCCAGATGATGTAGACACCTCTAGCGCACGCTCATTTAGCCGGTTAGCATCACGAAGAGCGAAATCTGTTTTGTTTGTTTATGTTGGTTTCGCTGCAAATTCAGTGACTACCGTGAAGCATTTTGCGAGCCGAGACCGACACCAATACGATGGAGCTTGCATGAAAAGTTGCGCTGCCACTTGACTGGGGTCATGCATTTGTGAGATGAGCCCTTCGAACGCAGTACTTGCAGGGCACTCTCACGTTAGTGAGGTGCGCTTGTCAGCTGCAAAAGGAGCATGGGCCTCGCGGGCGGCACACCTGCCTCGTTGTCGGAAGCATTTCGCATGGGCTCAAGTCCCGGTACTGTAGCACCCTGCCGGGCAAGGCAGTGCGGAAGTGCAGTGGAGAACTCATGAGAGCATGGCGGCCGTGGCGGATCTAGCTGCATCCTTGAACTCGCTGGGACCACACGCATCTCAGCAGCAGGACGGGGTGGGACTCCAAAACACAGATCAGGCATGAGAGTGGCCATCGCAGGGCATGCTCCTTATGGTGCTGTCTCGTTACGAACAGGTGTCGAGGATCCTGTCGAACTCCTTGCAGCACACAGATTGGGTCTCCAGCCCTAGGTTGGCGACCGTTCCCAGGCCGAGAAAGCGAGGTACACTCATGCCGCTGTCGAGCAGTGATCGTGTTCTGAGTCGTGAGCTCAGGCTGTGTTGCATTCGCTGCAGAAGGTGCCGCAGGCCTGGAGGGGCTGGCTGGCCTTTCACTTGCCCTGTGGTGAGTTAGGTAGCCTTGGAGATCTTGAAGTGCATGTCTGCTTCTACAGTGGAGGCGCCTGGCTCGTATGTGCGAAGGCTTCATGACGCCGTGCTTGTAGGAGCCCGTGCAGGTCAACAGATACCACCTCGGAGCAGCAGTATCGGTCTGCGAGAAGGCGCGACGTCCCCGCCCCAACAAGCTTCCTTTACCAGTCTCGAAGGCTTCGGAGTGGCATCTCGCCTTACACCTATTCGACCGCATGGCCGCGACTTGGCTGGTCAAAGTGCCACGGCCTGCCGCAGCTTCAACTTCCGTCTTCTCCCTGGGTCTGATTCGCGTGAGCGGCTCTGATGTCACACTGTTTGCTCAGTGAGCCCTGACTTGTGCCGTACTCGGTAGCTCTGCAGATCGATGTTGCCGCCTGCTTCATCTCTTGCCCATCTGCGGGCTTTCTTTTCAGGTCAGTGTTTCGTAGACCTAGCCGGGCCGCCGTCCCAACCTACAAGAAAGGCGTGCATCCTGCAGCCAAGGAGAGTTTACATGATCGGATCATCTGGAATTCTGCGATAAGCTCCTGCTCCAAGCGAGGATCGAAACCTTCTGTTCAAGTGTCATATAGTGTCATGTTCTGCCACGACACGGCCGCCACGGCCAGGGCTTTGGCAGCGGAGCTTACGCTTGTTGACCCTTTCGGGACTCCAAGCGGATGTGGTGAGCTATGGCGTCTCAGCGAAGACGTAACACGCGGTCAGTGCAGTGCCATAGCTGCTCGGGCCTAGTGCTGCTACGAACTGCACTGGATCCCAGGTTCAGGCATCCCCGGAGCCTCGACTTTTGCATCATCGACACATGCGCACGGAGGCGATCTCGCACGGAAGCTTCGGTTGTCAGTGCGAGACGAATTGATCTCTGCAGTCGAAACCCCGGGATTTCAGGACAGCTTTGGCACTTGGCGTTGACCCTGGTGGCTGCCATGGCAGGCTACGGATCTTCGCGCATGCAGCAAGATTCCCTGGCTTGCATTCAAGTCTTCCGAAACTTGCAACACCTCTGTCAGGTAAGGGAATCCTGCCCAACGTCTTTGCATGTAGCTCTAGCATAAGCTCTATGCGTGGCATGTCCTGGAGCTGGGCTTTCCAGATGATGTCAAGGAAGCATGTTTGGGGCTTCGGAGAGGGTTGTTGGCCCAAGCACTTGCCATTTGCCATTGTGACGGCAGGATGCGCAAGTTGGACATCCGTGGGAATCCCACTGTATATGGAGCCTCCATCCGTGCGGCCGAGGAGGCTGAGGGGTGGAGCATTTCCTTGACAGCATTGGCCTCGATGTGGCAAGAGGTCGAAAGGAATGTCATCAGCGAAAATGCCGCCATTTCCAGCTGTATGCGGTCTTCTCATTGGACTGACTGCTTGGCCTGCCTGAAGGACATGCAGACATGTCACACACGCAGCCCGACTTCCGTGAGTTATTCCACCGCGATGGCAGCGGTTTCCAGCACGAGCTGGCGGGCACCACTGGGGCTTCTCACGCATCTGCGAACACTGCGTACAGTGGATGCTATTGGCACCAGCACCGCGGTTCGTGCTTGCTGTGGACATGCTGCATGGGCAATCGCAATGGACATCGTCATGCACAGCAGCAGCATAAACGAGGTCAGCTATCACATTATTTTGGAGAGTTTTAGCGGAACTTGTAACTGGGAGCAAGCTATTGAGCTACTTTGCTGCATGCGCGCAGCACGGATTCGGGTTTCGGCCGCTCCATGTGCTGCCGCGATGCGAGGATGTGGCTTAGGAGGTCAATGGCAGATGGTACTTGGGCTTCTTGACGAACTGTTGTCTTTCAAGACACTGCTGGATGAGACCACGCTCAGTTGTGCAATGGACGCCAGTGCTCGAAGTGGAAACTGGGAGCTTGCCCTGCACCTCTTCTGTGAAGAAGGTTCAGGACGTGAACTCTGCGATCCTGTCACTTACACGGCTGCCATTGCGGCCTGCCTGCGTGGCAGCCAGTGGCAGCTAGCTTTGGAGTTGGTCAGTGACTTCGAGAACTTGAAGCTTGTGCCCGACACGATTCTGTTCAATGCGGGGATCTCGGCTGCCCAGACTGGCACTCAGTGGGAAGCAGCTTTGAGTGAATTGCAAAGGATGCAGACCTTTGCTGTGCGGGCAGATTCAGTTTCCCACAACACAGCCGTCAGCGGATGTGAGCGTGTAAGCCTTTGGCAGAGAGCCTGCGATGTCTTGAGGAAGATTCAAAAGCGACTCTTGCGCTTCTCGGAAGTGGGACACAACGCGGTAACCAGCAGTCTGGAGAAGAGCACGAAGTGGCTGCACGTTTTGCTCTGCTTCGAAGAGCAGCTTCATACCCAGGGGACCTCTTTGCCCTCACAGATTGCCATCGACACAACCGCGACTGCAATCCAGAAGTCGAGTCACTGGCATCTGGCGATCGAGCAGATCGCGAGGAGGGGGACGGTTCTTTTCGCTTTTTCCCTTCGGAAAGCCGTCCCAAACAGTCATTCAGACGTCCAAGACTCTAGGAGCTCTTTGCACGGTCTGAGCCGGGCTTGGCATTGCCAGGACTTTCCGCTTTCACCTTTCACCAGATGCGCTCTCCTACAGTGCTGCCATCAGCGCGTGCGAGAAGAGTTGTCGCTGGAAAGTGGTTCAGGAGCTTCTCACGGAGACCACGACCGTGGTTGGAAGAGTCGTACGGCAGCTAAGGTCGGAAGGGCGCAGCGATGCTTGCGATGCTCGGTGCCTGTCGGCCATGGAACGGAGCGAAGTGTCCTGGAGGATGGCCAAGCTCAGCCGGGCGGGCGAGAGTGAAATGGCTTCCCTGCTAATGCTTACGAAGCCCAAACCCGACAGCAGACTTACCGACATTTCGAACTGGATCTGGTCTGCGGCCTCTGTTGGCTTGGATGGCACAGCTGTGGAGGCCGGGCCTGCCAGGCTTCTTCCGAGATCATTTGCGTTACTCGCTTCAGGATGTTGTGGAGATGGCGAGATCCAAAATTGAGATTGGCTTGGCCTCGACTATTTCACTGCGCATGTTGGCCAACCTCGTATCTTGGCCTCAGTTCGGGAGCTTGAATGGACTTGCCTTCAGCACTGCGGGAGTCTTGTCCTCGAAGGCTTGGGGCTTGGCCAGCCTGGATGTGGATGCTGCCCGAATCTTCCTCGTCTTGCAAGGTCCTGGCAAGGGCTGCTTCAAAGCTGCCGATGTCATGCGGTACTTGGATTCGGCACTCTCGCAGGAGACTTGGATCGAAGAGGACGTGTGCTGACACAAAACGCACCGAGAGAGGTGTTGGTGCAGTTTGTGTCCGTCGTGGCCGAGGTGTCCATGGCTTAGTCGGTCGCTGCTGAGATTGAAGCAATGCCAGCAGACTCGCTGTCGTTCTGTTTCTCGCTGTTGCGCCGTCGTGCGAGGCTCTGGGCTTGCCACCTGGCCGGCGCGCTGTCGCGCCTCACAGCCACTTCCTCTTTGGTCGAGGCTGTCTTGGAGGCGTGTGAGACCTTGGATGCCGCCGCAGTGGTGCCGGCTGCGGCTGCTGCGGCCCTGGCATGCACGGAGATCGACAATGAGGGCCAGCGGCCGAGCCGCAAGGTTGCATGGAATGATGAGGGGCGTGCTTGGCGGCAAAGTGAGTCCTGGTGCTTCAGCGAAGGACTTCTCACAGACCTGTCTGACCGGATTGTGATTTACAAACCGGCGGGCTGGCAGGCACGGACACACACACACAAGCGCCAGCATCCCTGCTTGAGCGCAAACTGTACGAGTGCAGAGGTCGATGATCAGAGCACGAGCGAAGGGAGACCGCTTTCCGGGTTTCTTCGAATTGCCATTCCGATCCAGCGGCAAGGGCTCCTAAATGACTTGTAGCTTTGATGCAATTTGAGACTCTCTCCGAGGGTCCTGATCTGTGACGATGACAGCCAGGTATCATCAACGAGGTTTCCTGCATCGCCTTGACGTTCCAAGTTCAGGCTTGATACTTGCTGCAACCAGCTATTCTGCGTACTACGATCTTCGCTTGCAGCTCTCCATGGGCATGATCTCACGTGAGTACACTGCACTTTGTCACGGGCTTCTCAATAATCGCCGAATTACCGCGCCTGTTTTCTGGTTGCGTGGGCTGGCAAATGCGAGTGCCGTTCGCCCAGAAGGGCGCCCTGCCCTGTCAAATGTGCGACGAGTGGGCTCAGCCTTTAAACTTTGTCAAGGTTTTAGTCTCGTGCAGATTGTGATTTTCACCGGTCGCCGACACCAGATTCGCCTGCACACAGCTTACGTCGGCCATCCAACGGTCTCCGACAGCAAATACGGAGCGCGCATCACGTTTGAGGAGGACGTGGTCTGGTGCTCCCGAAATTTTCTGCACCGACACCGATTGTCTTTCAAGGAGGCAGTGCTCTGTGCAGAGCAAGAGCACTCCGTGGTGGAGCCCCTGCCACAGGATCTGAAACTCTCGCTTAGAAGGACGAAGCCTGTGTCTGGAAGGACGGAGTGGCTGTGAGAGTTCTTGGTTAGGACTGTTCGCTGAAAGGCTTGTGGCGACATGGAATAGAGCGACCAGGAAGCCTTTGTCGAAGTAAGTGATGAGGTGAAGAACGACCTTCAATGGGTTTCTCTCCTTATTGCATGTAATCGCCCAGGTGCCCAGTTTTTTGTCTACAGTGTCCGGTCCCACAGGGCCAATGTTGCAGGAGGAAACGTATTTGCTCGAGGGCTTGCAATGCTGCTTGATGTTGTTGTCCGGTTAAGCAAGCAGCGCTCCGAGAAGTGACTGCCTGGGCTCAGCAGCTTTTGCTCTACAGGTACAGGCCTGAAGGCCTAAACAGCCATGGCACGGAGAGACACAATCGGAGCGCTCCTATGGCTCTTTCCACGGCTAATGCTGGCTTCAAATTCTTCCGTTCAAGTGCGGATGCAGACACCCTGGACCTGTGCTACAAGCACGTGTTCCTGTGCGGATTTGGAGATGCTCGACATGGGCACTGGTGCTGTGATACCAACTGACATGCAAATCCACGCTGTGAAGTACTGGCCTGAGCCAGTCGGCTACCAAGGTGCAGCTTCCACGTCACAGCATCACCTTCTGTTTTCGACGAGCTGTTGTAATTGTGAATGTGAACTGCCATCATGTCTTGAAGACCTGCTATTGCGTCAGCTGGGCAGGGCTTCCCTCGACAAGAGTTTTTGCACGGGGCATGGGTGCTAAGACAATGTCGCAGTACACGTGAAAAGTTGAAAAAACCATGTGATGAAGGGAGCAAACGGTCAGCTGGAAGAGGGTCTCGCCGACCTGAGCCTCTGGCCAGGTCGTGGCTCTGGGAAGTAGGTGTTACAAGCAACATGCTGTCACCGTGAAGTGAGAAACTCCTCTCCCAACTTCTGACTTCTTCCGTCGAAGGTGTGTTCACGAACCCAGACCGCGATCCCTATACCAACATCTACCAAGAGATTCATGCCGCTCGCCTGACTTGACTGGCAGAGGTGTTGGGGTCGACAGCCTGTGTATCGCTTGCGAGAGCTTGCTCCAACCGTTGGAGCAAGTGTGGGTCCATGTAGGTGTGCCGGTGTGTGCCGGTGTGCCCGACAACCCGAGGCGAGGGATCTGCCAGTGATCCGAAACGAGCTCGGTGCGAATGCGCTCCTCTTGGCTCCATGGAGCTTCGGACATCGAAGCCACACGCAATTCCTGGAGCAAGCGACCGCAAACAACCTGAAAGTCATCCCTTCCTTCGACCTGTCCTGGTATTGGGAAGATGGCACTTGGGGTCTGCCGGGCACCAGAGCGGCCCTGCGCAAAGATTTCCATGACTTCTTGCAGTATTCCGCTTTGATCCAGGAGGATGCGCAGCTGAGCACTCCGGAGAGCATTCTTCTCTGGAACTTGGAGGGTCTTCCCTCCGTCGAGGCGATATTGCCTCGCAGCTGTGTGGCGGGAGCATTGACGGACGTGGCCAACTTCCGGAACTGCATCGCCTCCTCGGGGGACCTCGTGGATGCGCTCAATACCGTCCAAACCATTCAAGATTCCTGACTGCTCAGAATCTCTCTGACTCTCTATCCCTTCTCCTTTCACTTGCCTGCTCTTGCCCAGGATATGCTGCAGGTGGTGCGAGAAGCACAGAGAGAGTTCCACTGCGAAGAGGGGGCTCAGAAGGCAGAATGTGCTGCAAGAGACGATGTTCCGGTATTCAAATTTGATCGACCCTTAGCATTGACAATCGACCTGGGGGACGTGTACCTGTCCGTGGCGGAGAACAGTGAGTACCTAAACGCTTTCGTCTTCTGGATGGAGCGGGTGGTCGGCTGCCATCCAGTTGCTGTGGGCCAGGCTGCCACGTAGGTTGTGTAAATGTTAAACAGTTAAAGATTTGCTCGCGATCCTTTCATGCCTTGCAGGTGCAGGTGCCCAAGAGCTTTGCTGAGGCGTCATCGCAATGTACCTTCAATGGATACGGATGCTTAGCAGGATTGTGCAGTAGAATGTTGTCATGGACTCGAGCAGCTGAGCACCCCAGGTTTGTTTGACATGTGGATTCTGAAAGCCCGTGCAGTTGCAGATGATGTGGAGGCCCTGCTGTGTCTGAAACGCTATAGCCTACAGCTTTTGCTTTTGAAGCACAGCCAGTGCCGTCTTCGAGGCCTCGGCCATTCGTCGACTCAGGGAGCACTTCAGCCAGCCGAAGCAGCAGCTCTCCTCGGGAGCTGCGTCCGTGTCCGATCTCGCCGGAGCCATGAAGCCCATGATCTTGGAGTTTGGATTCCCTGCCTACACCCGTGGCGCCATACAGCCGGAGAAGCAACACAGGGCGCTGCGCGAAGTGTGGTCTGGGAATGGGGGGCTCAAGAATGCCTGGAGCGATGGCTACTGTGTGCGAGGATCAGTGTTGAAATACTTGCCGCCTCTAAAGTGTATCTGTCTCGCGAAGCTCTTTGTGTGCAGGCGCTGCCGTCGACGAGTGGCAGGCACAACAACCCAAATGAAGAAGTGCAGAGCAGTTTTCGTAAAGGGCTAGGCGCTGCTTGTCGCTGCTTCCTGGAAGGACGTCTGGAGTGCGGATGAGCGCTACGATTCCTGCCAGGAGCTGAAGTCCAAATTTGGGCATTCGACATGTGGACCGCTGACTGACGCGGGCCAGCTAGCAGTTGCTTACCAGGGCTTGGTCGGGCAATTCCACACATTCGGCCGGCACTGCATCCAGAAGCGCTACGAAGAAGTTAATGTGAGCTCTCGCTTTCAGTTCGTTGACGATCTGCAGAACCTTCAGAGCAACTACATTCCACCATCAGTGTGCGCTGGCGTAGTGTTGAGGCGAGGTGTGACACTTATCGCCTTCTTTGCAGCATGCCTGCAGAATATTTACACAAGGTCTTGACCTTTTTCCGTTTTAAGGCTTATTCCCTTGTAAGCAATACAGGTACACAAGGTGCAAGGGAATCACATGGACCCTATAGCCAAGCCAGAGCAAAAGGCAATAGCCGATGCCACGTCGTAGCAGTGTCGTAGCAATCTCTCTCGTCGTCTCGTGCTCATTCTCTTCTCTTAAATCTGTTGAGGCAGCGAGCGGGCTGTTCGTCCTGTTGGGACTGGGCACTCTGTGCTCACTATGCAGGCGGCGGGCACTCTGTGCAAGAAGTTCTCAAGACGGAGAAGACGGAGCAGGCGAGCAAAACTGCTTCAACTTGGAGCAGCTGATGCAAGCGACGGCGACCAGGAAGGTCTTGGAGGACCTGTCGGCCGTCCCGTTCGGAAGATTACTTGCAGTGAAAGTCTCCGAAGCCCTGGAAGAGGGCCGCGAGGTGCCCGTGCAGTACAGCCATTTGCGTGGATATTGCGGCTGGGGCTTTGCCAAGGTGAATGGATCGTTTTCCTATCACCGGCTCCAGTACAACGGTCGCGGCCGTGGCACTGCTGTGCAAAGGTGGGACACGGCAGAGTCCTTCATCCGATTTCTGCAGGCCCGGATGGTTTCGTGTAAGACTTTCTTGGATGTAGGAAGTGATGCTGATTTTTGAGGAGCAGTCGGACCGGTCCTTGGCTGTTTATGGCTTCACGGATGCAGAGCTGCGGCGCACGGAGCTGATCGGTAACCGCACGGTGAGACGTCGGGACTTGCTGGAACTTCTGGATGCCAACGGCTGCTTCAATGAGGGCGACGCTGTGACCGGACGAGCTTCTTCCCGGTTTCGAGTCCTTGGCATCCAAGCGGACCTAGCAGTGGACCTCTCCTACCGCGCGAATCCCCTGTTCCTGTCTGGTGTTGCAGAGGAGATCTGGTCAACACCTGGAGATGAGAACGACATGAGACCCGGCGAGCAATAGCTCATTCGCAGTCATCAGCAGTCATCTTCGACTCTTGTCCGCCCGCCATAGCCTTCAGATGCCTTCAGCACCATAAGGAAAGGGTGGCTGGCGAGGACCGGGACAAACATGCGGCTCTTCCTTCAGATGCTCGTGAACACACACCTCACCGCGCAGGCAGATCGCTTGAGGCCGAAGCCCGAAGCGAAGCCAAGCTGAGATTTTGTTGTCAGCTGGAGAGATTATGCGAGAGCAGAAGTTCCTTTCTGCTGCAGGCGGCAGATCGAGCACGAGGCGACGGCGGTGGCTGCGGAGGAGCAGCGGAGGCAGAGGAAAGAGCTCTGCGACGACGTCGCCATCAACAGGTGCGATGCCCCAAACGAGGTAGTGTGTACGTTCCGAAAGATTTCAGGGGCCGGGGCGGTTCCATTGGGCAGCCAGGGCAGGACCCACCGGCGGTTGCGGGGAGGCTCGATAAGGGGTGGGGCGCGGCATGCGGGAAGTGTTTCAACATCATAATAGCGGGTCGCGATACGGTGTGCGGGGTTCCATCAGTGGGTGCGGAGCTTGCGGACGAGGTTGGTGCAAGGTCCATGGGCCAGTCGCGATGCGGGTGCGGGCAGGGTTCTGCGGGTCGGGGTCAAAAATGCTCGTGTCACTGCTCGGGAGAATTGCTTTGTGGATGGGTTTTTGGGTTCCCGGTGCCCTGATGTGTCTGCAGGAGAGCTTGCTACAACATCTGGCGGCGAGTGCTGGAGGGTTACCACGCGTGGCAAGGGGTAGTAGGCAAGGCAAGAGATTTGAACTACGACGAGGACAAGGTCCACAAGTACTTCGTGGAGGCCCTGACGTCTCGGCTCATCGGATCGATTGCGGAGCACCTTATCCACTCCCCGGAATGGCTCGCTGGTGTGCATGAGAAGGTCTTCGAAAGCATGGCTTTCAGTGACAATTCTGGATCACCTTCCTTCTCTTGCCACGTGGACTACGCTGATCTCTGTGAGCCGCTCGAGTTCTTCTGTCGAAACTCCAACATTTTTGCGCCGAAGCAGGGGATCAACTTCGACGACATCAACGACTGCGGGCTTCTTCCTACAAGCGGTGCAGACACGAAGAAGGTCCAGAAGACCTGGAGTGAGCCCGTGGGTTTGTGGGTGGCCTTCCACCTCATCGTCAACTACAAATGGGTTTTGACCATGTCCGTCTGGCTGTTGTGGTCGGCTTTCTTGCTCTATGACAGTGAAGTCTTCGAAGACTGGGTTGGGAACAGCTCCCGACAGCCAACTTTGAGACGCTTCTCCTTCTACAGCCTTGCTTTCATCGACTCGCTTTGGCTCTGCTTTTTGATGCTCTGCGAAGTCTTTGTGAGCGATTCCCCAAGCCCTTCTACAATTGGCCGCAAAACTCGCAACTGCTGTGTGAAATGCTTGCGGGTGTGCAGAGTGGTGCCAACTCTTGCGTTGGCAGGGGCCTGGACGTTCATTGCGTGGCCGGATGTGCTGACTGAAGTCGCAGGGTGGTTGGGTCTTGATCCGTCCATCCTTGATGTGCTTCCAGCCGACTTTGCCAAGACATTCTGGTACTTGCCCGTCTTCTACATTCTTTGCCGCTTCGTCTACGGCATGACACCACGTCTCAGACTCACTAGTGCATACCAGATCTTGCAGCTGGCATATTTTCGAAGGATTCGAGACTGCTCCATGTTGCCACTGTTTAGGGTCATGTTTTGAGGGTTGTCACATGTTTTTGCCGCAGGATAGCGCTTTTCTGGTTGGCCTTTGGGACATTCTGCTTCCTCTGCAACTATTCGATGCTGGTGGGTCTCGTGCGGCCTCTGACTCCACATCAGCTTTGTAGTATGCATGACGACGATGAAGAGTTTTGCAGCACTTACAGCATCGATGTTTTCACCGTCACCTTGCTTGTGAAGGACGTGCGATGCATCGCCTGCAATGCCACGGTGGTTGCAAGCTGGCTTCTAGTGGCATTGAGCAGCATGCTAATGATGTATTTCATATTCAACCTTTTTGTCGCCATAGTGGGAAGCTCCGTCGGTGCTGCGCGCGGCTTCGTTGAGACGAGCATTCCTTCCTTGGAGTTTCGCGTCGAGACCGTCACCACTGAGTTCACGTCGATGCGCAAGGCCGAGGCAAGCTGGATGACCCATGGCTCCATCCTGAACGCGCCTTGGCTTTGGTACGTTTAGTTGTGCTTAGGGCCACCCTGGCCCTTTGTCGTCGCAGGCAGTCTTTGGCAAAGAATGGCAGAAGGTCTGGGAGATGATGGTCACTTGGCCTTCGTTTTCTTGCAGATGTTCAACTGTCTCTGTTTGTGCGGGATGTGGATGCAGCTCTTAGGTGGACGGCCTCTACGATGAATGCTTGATCGACATGAAGATGCGCAGCAGCCTGCTTGCTGCTGCCAAGACGGGTGGCTCTGTAAAGTTGTCGGGGAAGAACATGCAGATCTTGGACCGCGCCAGAGCCAGGCTAGGCTATTTGTTCACGAGCTTGAGGTCCATCTTAGGTGATGCCAACATCAACTTCAAGCCGTACACCTCTGCTGATGGAGTCACAGACGCTTTGGGCCTCACCCACCGCGGTCGCATACCTTCTCTGACACAGATCGTTCCTGTGTACAGCGAGGAGGGTATCATGGACACGAAGGAGCTGGTAGGAGATCCAAAAGCAGGAGCCGTCTCGACGATGCTGGAGTTCTTGATCTCGCAGTTACCACGCGAGTGGGAGATCTTTGCCCAAAGTGAGGGCCTGCATCCGACTGAACTTTACGAACGATTCTGCGAAGCAAACAAAGGCTCGGGCGGGAAAGGCTCGGGCCCGGCAGCGATGGCATCCAAAGCCCAGCAAGACCGCATCCGGGAATGGGCTTCTCATCGCGCACAAAGTGTGATTCGAACGGTCAACGGGGCAGTGCACTACCATCGAGCATTGAAGGTCTTATTGGAGCGAGATGGAATGGAGAAAAAGGTGGAATTTGAGGACCTCCGTTCCCATGCCCAGCTCATTATGGCGCACCAGACCTATGGCAAGCTGAGCCTTGGCAAAGCACAGCAGGTGAAGATACAACATGGTGTCATCACGACGCCGGCTCCACATGGCCTGCGTCCAAATGACCGCGTTCGTTTGACGCTCGACTCACTGAATGCAGAAGATGCGGTGGCCCGGCGGGCAGTGGAAAAGATCTGGAAGAATCGTGCCATGAACAAGCTTAAGCACCGTGCGAAGACGCGCCAGGAGGTGGAAGCGATCCTTAGCGATGGGGCCCAAGTTCAGTCTTTGGTCGATGAAGTTATGGTGGATGGCAGCTTGTCGGAAGCGGTTTTGGACGATGGCAAAGTGGAGGCTGCGATGAGCGATGGGGCTTCTGAGGAAGCCATCGTCAGCACCAGCTCTTCGGCCTTCGCGCGCCATCCTGCACTCCTTGGGAGGCTGTGGGGGCAAGCGCAGATCAAAGGACTGCAGAACTTCAGGGGTGGGGGCTTCTATACGATCAAAGAAATTGTCGACGACCACACTGCAGTCCGCTTCGGCAGCACTAAGCACTATTCAGTTCTTCAGGTTTTTCGGTTTGAAAAACCAGCCGTAGCAGAGCGTAGCGGCGTAGCCTGCTTTCTTAGCTCGGAGTCTCTGAGGTCCTTTCGGACGTATCTGTGAATTGCGGAACTGCTCGCCTGGAGAAAGCCGAGCTCACAAAGCGAGAGCACGACGTGCACTACATGCTCCAAAAGCACCAGGGCTTCCCCTTCTTTGTCTGCATTGACTTTCAAAGAGGGAAAAGCCACCCGCAACTAGAGGAGATGATCGATGCTCACGTCTCCAAGCAGGCGGTCTCCGGTGAAAACCTTGAGGAGTGGGCATCCGTCCGGTTCCGGCACGCCAGTGTGCTGATCAAGCACGGCGGCACCGGAGACGGATTAAACTGGCCCATTGAGATCGTCCATGTCCTTCCGCGTGCGCGGGGCCTTCTTATCGGCACTGTCGGGAATCTCACGCAGGGCAAGGCCGGGAACCAGTTGGGGGCCTTGCGCTTTGCGGAAGGCCACTTTGTCCAGATGATGGATGCAAACATGGGCTGCTATGCCGGCGAAACCTTCAAAGTACCAGTTGCCCGGAAGCAGACTTTCCAGATGTGCATAAAGCAGAAATCCTTTTTTGGCTTCACTCAGGTTGTGCTGCAAGGCTTTCATCGCTCGTCCATTGCCGAGGGCGATTATGACCACCGCCTGAAGTTGCAAGCCCGGATCATCGGGTTCCGTCGGTGCCTGAGGGCAAGGGCCAGGGCCCGTTGCTTGCGTGAGAAGGGCGGTTTTTTGGAGTCTGCTGAGGTGAGCACATCTTCACACGGGAGCACGGACTGGTCGGCCAGATCATGGCGGCCGGGCAACTCCCAAATGCTGCAAAAAAACATACATGTACATATATATATATATATATATATATGAATAGATGTGCATAGTGCAAGTGCAAGTGGTGTAACGCAGAGGACGCCGAATGGACCTTTGGGACCTTGGTGCAGCGCCTGCTAGAGTTTTTGACCGTCCGGATGCACTACGGCCATCCGGATTTCATGGACGGTTTCTGGGCAGCCAATCGAGGTTCCGTGTCCAAGGCTTCCCCGCACATCAACCTCTCGGAGGACATTTTCGCTGGATTGAATGTGAAAATACGGCATGAGCAATCATTGCACACGGACTACCTGGAATGGGAGAAAGGCCGCGAAGTTCAATTCTTGGCAGGCTCCGGCTTCTTCTGGAAGATCGCGAGCGGCAGTGTGGGCTTGCTCCGCACCCGGGATCTCCGAACGCTCTGCCAAAATGCCTCGATCATGGAGACCTTCGCGCTCTACTTCGCCACGGTGGCCTGGTGCTTTGGCAGGCTTTGGCAGTGTACTGCACACGGGCTTCCAGCATTTTGCAGTTTGCAGCTTTCTGGTAGCGTTTTGAGCTCCGAGGTATATCCACAACGTCGTTGTGGACATCAGCACGGAAGTCTTTGTCTTCATCTTCATTTACTTGACTTTGGCTTCGAAGTCCATCGTGGATCTGGGTGATCTCGGGTCCATGCTCGCGGCGGAGTGGTTCCTAACTCCGGCATTCAGTGCCATGCTTCCGGCCATCATCGGCCTGGGAATTGAGTATGGGCCACTGTGGATGATCAAAAACTATATCTTCACAGCTCCCATGTCTATGGTCTACTTCATCTTCATCAACAAAGCCATGTCATCCTCAGTCCGCACAACCTTCGTCGCCAACACTGCAGAATATGTGAATACAGGAAGACCGCATGCAAACAAGAGCTACACACTGTTGGAGGCTTTTCTGGCGCACCTCTGCTGCAGTTGCTGGGAGAGCAAGCCGAAAGAGCACCAAGAGAAGGAATCTGGAAGTCTGCAAGCTGAGGTATTGGAACTCGCATTACCGACCTGCCTTGCGCATCATCTACTGCATCGTGTCTGAGCCTCATCTTTGGAACAGTCAGCATTGGGCAGCCCTCCACATTAGAGTTCCGCTAGGCTTTATCGCTCAATGAACGCGGATGGTGCTCTGCCACTGATCCTTGTGTCCTTTACCGCGGTGGCCTCAGTCTCTGGACATGGTGGATCATCTCGAAACAGCAAGCTGCGCTTGAGATGAGTAAGGCCTTCGTGTGGATCCTGGCCCCGATCCTGTTCCAACCGCCGACGAAAACCGTTCTGGAGCAGACCCGCGAACTGGTCGGCTTCGTGGCAAAGGTCCCGGCAACTCGCGAGCGTTTGACCTCCGGGAAGCCAAGCTCTCTCTACGAGGTGCTTAAGCGGCAATGGAGGGCTGCTTGCTCTTTCCGTCGTTCCGTCGTTCCGCGTCAGGCCGGCTTCGAGCAGGAGCTGAAGCAGGCCAACCGAGGCCTCGTCCTGCCGCTCCTCTCTGGCTTTTTGCTTTGCGCTCTCTACCTCTTCATGACCTCCTCGGACATCCTGGACCAGCCTCTCGCCTCAGTCTTTTCGCGTTGCCGCGCCGCACCGCCATGCCTCGCCTTCTAAGGATGTGGGCACCGCTTTGTGGGATGTTTATTCTCTTCCTCTTCCGATCGGTGCTGGCCTTCTCCGGCATCAAGTCCGCAGGCGGGAACGGCTGGAGAGGAGGGAGCGCGCCGGTTTCTGGAGTCTGCATCTTTGAGGCATGATGATGCTGGCCATCCCTTGCTTGTCCCTGCCCCTTGGCCGGCCTTGTTGGCGAGAGGCCCGCCGGGCCGTCGATCCCTGCCTATCTCCGTGCCTCTTGAGAGGTTCGTGATCTTCTTCTCGACCTACATCGTGGAGCCGAGAAGGGCTGCTGTTCCCTAAAGTGTTGCCCTAAACCCTAAAGCCTAAAGCCTAATAGCAGCAACTCCCACTCCCACTCCAACCTCTCATTCCTCCTCTCAGTCAGAGGAGAACAGGGACTTCGGCTCGCTGCTGGTGGCGACGCTGATTTTGATCCAGTTCCTGACGACCGTGAAGCTCTTGGTCTGGTCCTTCTTCGCGCTGGTCCTACCGAGAGGGAGCCCCTTAGGCTATGAGCAGGTGGTTCGCTTCACCTTCGACTTCTTGTGCATCTACGAGCTCCAGTTCTTTGGAGCACCTTGTCTCGTTGAAGATGGGCTGACAGCATTAGCTCAGGCCCAAAAGGAGAACTCGATGTCGCCACTTTACTCATCTGAGCAGAGCAGACTTTGGCAGAAGAGGTCCACAACCTGATGATAAGCGCATTCATGTCACCACGACACCGATATGGAAACCAGGTTGTATTCGTTGACGTCAACATCTTGAATAAGCGCATTGCAGCCTGATTGCTGTGATCCTTTGCCGTTGTTTTGACTGGTGTATCCGATAGCAAGTTAGCACGGCCAAGATGGCCCCGGTCATGCAGTCCAAGCCTGTTCCGCAAGGTGCCGCCATCTCGTAAGGTTTGCAGGTGTCATTTAGGGTCAAAATTTGGGCTGTACCCTTAGTCGGCATCCTGCGAAAAAGCATGAGGGTTGCTAGGCACCTTCTGGTGCATTGATGTCGGAGAAGCATGCATCGTTTGACAGACGCGTGGTCGCTGCAGCATCGCATGTTTCAAACCAGGTGAAATTGCAACATGGAAACCCCAGCAAAACGGGTTCTGCCAGTGCAAAGCTTGAGCTGCAGGCTTTGGTCGTGCTAATCTTGCAGACAGTCTTTGCCGGTTTGTTATGGTGCCCGGCCTTAGCCTTCATTGCGTGTGTTGTCGTTATTGTGCGATATTGATGTCTGGGGACGATCTGCAAGCCAGTGTTCATGTGCAGGTTGTCGGTCAGAGCTGGCTGTGCAATGTGCAACCAAGGTTGCTGGACAGACCTCCTCTACGACTCCGAACAGGTCTCATCCTGAACAGGTGCGGGCCAGTGCGACTTGATTTCTGCATGTGCCTTTCGCCATCTCTCGCCCTGGTCAGGCGAGTGTCCATTGGAACCATGGCCGCATTCTCCGAATGCTTGAATGCTGAGTGAATGCTTTGAAGCTTCGCACTTTTGGCAGCCTTTCCCTTTCCGGCCTCGGTTCTCGATCAGGATGTGTTCGCACAATCTTCGGTGACCCCGACAGCTGCCAGCTCAGTTTGTCACAAAGCGACCTCACCACTCGTCATGCGAAAAATCTATGATCACGCAGAAGACGAGCTTGAGGCAAAGACGAGTGCATCACCGTCAAGGTAGATGGATGACGAGATCGCGCTGTTGCTTGCTCGTTGATATTCCACCGTTGCCAGCAGGATTTCAGATTGCAGCCAATTTAGACCGGGCGAACCAGCCCGCCGGAGAAACCTGGATTTTGGTTGCGGGATACCCGCTTCAACGCCAAGCAGGGCAATTCCCCGCCGAGATGTGAAACGTACATCTCGTCCGTCGATTATGAGTGCCGAGATCTCTGACAGGATTCTGAGAGGACTCCGAAGAGCGAAGTGCAAGCAAAGAATCGGCACTGATGGTCGGCAGCCTGACAGGTCTGGCCTTACAGTGCATGTACAGTACCAGACATTTTGCTGGCTCAGTGTTGCCCACAAGTTGGCATCACCACCTTTCTGAGACATCGCATCAACGTGCTTCAAGACGAAGTCGCGAGTCTCAAGCTCCTCAAACCCTGTAAAGCTTTCATGACAATGGAGAGACGTTCAGGCAAGTTGGCGCTGTGTTGCATGAGACAAAAGCAAGCAAAAACTGCTGTCACCCCGTCATGATTGTTCATGAAGCAGTATCTGTCCTTGGCCATTATAGCCTGCGGCCCGTCACTGTGGCTATGGACATGGCTTGAATAGTAATTAGTTGCCCTCTTTGCAAGCGCAGCTGAGCTTGCACTATGGCAGTCATGGAGCGACGGAATTGATCCTTCTGCAAAGCCTCGGGTCCCATCGAGAGGGCCTGGACCTTGGTGGCTGCGGCCCCAAGATACGAAGCATGGACGCGATGCATCTGCATTCCTCGATTCGGAGCTGTCACAGGAACCAGGACGGGTGTCTCTGCGGGCATGCGGGCTTCAAGGGTCCAGAGTTTGCCAAGCAAGATCGCAACTCAGCTTGCGTCAGAGCTCTGTGTCAGCGTGCTGGAACACTGGAAATATTCCATGCTCGTATGGCGCGTTGGAGGACTGGCGAAAAGCTCTTCATCTTCTGCAGACCCTGCAGCCTCGAAGACTTCTAGAAGAGGTGTCCGTTTGCGCAGCGATGAGCATGTGCACCAGGTGCGCAAGTGGAGTTGGGGAGAGGGATTTGGAGGGATCTCTGCCCACGGCCGTCTTGACTCGGAAAGACCAGGGCCAGCTACTGGTCAGCGAGCCTGGCCCTTTTTGCTGGCTTGGTTTTCCACCTGGATCCGGACCCAGTCACCTTCAGCGCTGCCCTGGCTGCTTGCAGCAGCGGGTCTCAATGGACAACCGCACCTCGTCCGACTAGAGTTGACGGTTTCGGCAGACATCGATTCGCACAGAGCAAGGCTATTTTGCTGCTTCATGAGATGGCAGAGATCGCCGTGCAAGCTGATGCCATCTGCTTCAACTCTGCAGCTTGGACCTGCGCTGCATATCAGCCATAACATCGCTCGTTTCTGAAGGCTGTACAAGGCCGGCGGAGGAACCACAGCCAATATGTCGCTTACTCGCCAAGGCCATCAGTGCTTGTGAGACTGTGTGGCAAGTTGCACTCTGGCTGCTGCGCAGCATCACCGTCACGGAAGCCATCTGACACGTTTGTGCAGTCTCTGCGTTTCTCTTTCCTACGGGCACGGAAGGATGTAGTACTTCTGCATGGAAGGCTCTTGCAGTTGGGATCAAAGTCTTCCCACAAGGTGAGGCCCAATTGCATCACCTTCAGTGCCTGCATCAACGCGTGCCCGTGGACGATTGCCATGCACCTGTTCGATCAAATGCGGAGCCACAGCATCCAATCTAACGCCGTCACACTCAACACTGTGCGCAGCTTACACGGCGTTAGGTGTGCAGACCATCACGGCTTGTGCAAGTTGGATTGTTCAACGAAGGTCATGAAGGCCTGTGCATCACAGTGGCAGATCGTCTTAGAAGTCATGGCGCTCTTCCCCGATATGGCGCTTCGTTCAGAAACCCGGCCTCCAAGTGAAAGCTAAGATCTTTGGAGAGGGAGACTAACGCAGTGGGCAAGCCAGAGCTAGATTGCCGGCGTGCAGCATGAGACCCCGAAGGGGGAACGGACGAGAGGGAGAGAATGAGCGCGTGCATAGCAACTCTCAGGGAGCGACAGCTCGAGATGGGCTTGAAACCGGATGCGGGGAACGGCCAGCCAGGCACGGGGTCAGAAGAAGAGCAAGGCGAAGCCGAAAGAGACGCCCCACTAGCCCCGACAGCCCAGACAAAAACGGGGAGATCTGCACCCACCACCTCCCGTTCTTGCTGGAGCTGTCCTCGACAGAAGAAGGCCAAAGGTGAGGGGGAACGACGACCACCAAACACGCAACAAAGAACGAGGAGTGCTAAATGCACAGGAAGAGCCGGACTGGAGCAGGGACAGTCCTTCGAAAGAAGCACCCTCGACCCCAACGACGAGACGTAGGTCCGTTGGAAGGAAGGAAGGGTTGCTGGTTTACGCGGTTCAGGGCCGCAAGCCAAAGCTTCCACAACTAAAGACCACACGGGATCGCATGCACGCTGTGCATTCGCTGCATGCCATGGACCATAGCTTCGACGTGCGTTGCCGAAGCAATGGCCGTGAAGCTTCGAGTTATGACCAATTTGCGATTGTGTTCAAGCATGGGTGGAGGTCCTAGGGGTGTATGATATTTCTTAATCTTGTTCGGGAAGTGTTGGGGTCAAATCTTTGGGGTTTGGGTTGCCCATTCCTTTTCATCCAACTTCTTTCACCAACCTCGCTCTTTCCCTCCGCCTCGGCTAGATATTATGCTTGGCTCCATGGCCTACCTTCATCCGCACACTCACTCAGGGCCTCCTTTGTTTTCCGAGCCCTGAACCCTCCTGCTTTCCTGCCTCCCTCCGTCTTCGTGGCTACGATGGCTACGTGCATGCCTAGAGAGGTTCCTCAAGTTGAGATTACCGTCACATGCCCTGTTGCTGAAGCCTCGGCGCTTCTCCTTCACCTGCAAGCCTTCGAGCCCCTGGTTGGGAGCCGCCCTTGCCTCGCCTGCCGTGCCTTCCTCTGTCGGCTCTTTGCAAAGGGCTCAGTCTCCCTTGCCCGTCTCCTCATTATGAGGTAGGTCCGGAATTCGGAAGGTCGAGGCAAAGGACTCCCAGGCCTGTCACACGCCCATATTGGCTTCAACCTGCGTCTCATATGTCATAGGCGTTCGGAACCTTCCGTGGCAAGTAGTCCGGTGGCCGGCGAAAGCCGTTATGGATAGGCCGCCATAAAGTCGGTGCCAGCAAGTAGGCGCAAGCCGTGGGCCGCTGTTTTGGGGTGTAGCGCACGCGTGCGAGTAGGAACAAGTGCTAGCGATCGAACCGCAGCTTGCCGGTTCGATCGCCTTTTCTGAGTTCCTCCCGTCCCTTCGCCTCTCGTCGCTCTGGTCATGGCGACTGGATCCGCCCCCGCCTTCGTCGATGCCGCCGCCCAGGCGGCCGCTGAGGCCCAAGCCGCAGCCGACTTCGCTGCGGCGGCGGGCTTGGATTGGGCGCAGCCTGGTCCTATTTCGACCTCGGCGCCTACGGCATCTGCGACGGGGGCTGAGGCTGTGGACGACGCCCTTTCGGGCGAGGAGGATGAGGTGATCGCCGGCCATGCTTCGCCCACGCCGGGCGTGCCCCCTACTGGGGGCAGCACACATGTGGCGACACAGACAGAGGCCCATGTGTTCATCTCGTCTTTTGCGGCAGGGGCGTCTGACGGCGAGCTCGCCGCGGCTGTGGGCGCCTTGTCCGCGGTCGACTTGGCTCGCCTTATGGCGGCTTGCACGGCGGCCCAGCCAACGGCGGGTCCGTCGACGCCGGCTATTTCGTCTCCGTCATCTTCGTCCGGGATTACCCCATCGACGGGCACTACATTGCCAGCTACGCCTCCGCCCTTGACGACCCTCTCGGCATCTTCGACCGCCCCGCCGGGCGCAGGGCCCGCGGAGGCTTGGCTCGCCCCGCCTGGGGCTCAGTCGTCGGTGGTGCCCGGCCCGTCTGCCGCGGAGGCCCGGCAGTACTGGACCGACCAGGAGGCGATGCACCAGGTCGCGGAGCCGGCGGCTGCTGCCAACATCGCCGTGCCGGATGATGACGACGCCGACCTGGAGGGCGAGTCTGGGCTGGACGCCTACCTCGCCGGCCTATCGGGCGCTGCGCCCAAGGCCCCGCCCGACACGACCGTGCCTTTGCCGTTCGAGGCGTTGTGCCCGGCGGGCGCCTACGTGCGGCCCAAGCGGGGGCTGGTACCTCCTCCTCCACAGCCGCCTTCGTCGTCAACTACTACCTCGGCTGCGTCAGTGGGCGAGAAGCCCGCGCCGGTGGTCGCCAAGCCGGTGAAGAAGCCGCCTCCGCCCGTGCTGGCCGGGCAGGCTATCGCGCCCAACGCCAAGCCATTCGTCAAGGCGCCACCCCCCCCTCTGGTGGTGGAGCCGGCCACTGGGGCGGGAGCCCAAGGGGCAGGCACACGCCAGCCGTCGGGCATGTTTGGCTCGGCGGCGCCTTCGTCGGGGCCTCCGCCAGTGAAGAAGGCGCCAGCCCCACCGCCGGCCGCTGCACCGGCCGCTGAGGAGCCTACGCCCTACGAGCGGCAGCGCCGGGCGATATCTCAGGAGAACGCCCTCCGGGCGCTTGCTGGCATGGGGCCGCTGAGCTTCGACGTCACGTATGACGAGATGCTCCAGCTCCGCATCCAGCGCGAGATGCGGGAGATGACGTCGCCACCGCCCCCGGCCAAGCCGGCTGGGCATGCGGAACCGGAGGTGATCGTCCCGCAGACCTGAGCGCGACCATCCGCCCAGCGCCTCAGCGGGCATCCCGCCGCAGGCCGCCTCATCGTCGACTACGCCGCCGACCTCGCCATCGCCCTTTCCGCCTCCGGTGGCATCCTCGTCTGGAGCGTCCTCCGCCTGTGCGGGCGTGCCGCCCAGTGGCCGGGGCGGCTACGGGACCAAAAATCGGTCCCTGCATCGCCAGCCTGGCTCGTCAATGACTGCCAGGGAGCGGTGGGAGCGCTATCGGCAGGCCAAGCATCGCCCTGGGGCGGACTTCTTCGACTCCGAGATGCCCCTCGGCCTCGACGGGGCGGCTGCTGATACATGGGATCGGGCGGAGTCCCTGGAGCGCAGCGTCGCCGACGGCAGCTATGTGCTCCCGCCCAATTCGACAGTGGCGGGCATCTTCATCCGGAGCCTGCCGCCGAACGTCCAGGGCGGCAAGCTGCCTCGCGAGCCGCCGTCCGATGGCACCTACTTTATAGGGTGGTGCTTCGCCAAATGCCCTGGCCCATGGTGGCGGCCGGCATCGGCCTGTCGGTGCCCCTACGCCGGGCGCTGCCTCCGCCCTATTAGCTACCCGCCGGTGACGGGGCGGCCTCATTCGCACCATCAGTGCGCCAGGTGCGCCCCGGACTCTCCGGGCGAGCGGGACCGCTGAATTCGTCACGGCGGGGCTCTCTTTTCTTCGGGCGCGGCTACTTCGACATCGCCGGCACCTACATCTTTGCCGCCGCGGCCGTCTCACTCTTGGGGGGCGTCCGCCCGTTTTGCATCTCACCGCCTTCGCGGGCGCGGTCAAAAGTCTCGGCCTGTGCTTTTGTGCTCTCCCCTCCCCCTCCCTTCCCTTAAGCTTGGCTCGACTGCTCAAGCCCCTCGCAGGGCCTGGCTCGAGGTCACTTTGGCTCAGTTGTCTAAGGTGAGAGTCGACATGGCGGAACCGCCTCGGGGCTCGTTCGCCGAGCTGGTCGCCCTGGCGCAACGGGCGGGCCAGACCGACCACTTGCCAGCTGTGCGGGCGGCGGGCGTGAGGTGCATCCCCGACCTTTTCTCTCGCATCGACGCCTTGGCAGCCATTGAGGCGCTGCTGGCCGCCCCGCCGCCGCCGGCTGTGGTCACCGACTTGGCCCTGGTGTCGTCGGCCCAGGATCCGGGAAGGCCGGACGTCCCTCGCCGGAGGGTGCCCTTGCGGGCGAACCTTTGCTGCCGGCGAACCGCAAGCGTTCCGTCGAGGAGCTTCGCGACGGCTACCTGGCAGAGACCTCGAAAGGGCCCTACGCGTCCCGGCTCAAAACGTGGATGGCCCTGTCCTACCAGGGCAAGGTCGATCCTTGGCCGGTGTCCGCCGACACCATTGAGGCCCTGGGGGCGGCCTTCAAGAAGGGGGGCTACCGCAGTGCCAAGGAGTACTTCTTGGCCGCCTTCCGCCACCAGGAGCACGACCTTGGGCTGGAGGTCTCGCCCGTCCTACGCCGCTTGGCCAATACGGTGAAGTCCATCGTGCGCGGCCTCCCGGGGACTCGTCTCAAGGAGGCCTTCCCCCTCGCCGACCTGGGCGCCCTCGTGACCTATCGATGCGACCTCGCCTTCGACCCGGCCGCCGTCCCCCACGCCACCGACGTCCTGGTCTTGGCCACGTGGTTCATGCTCCGGGAGATCGAAATCGCCGGGGCACTCGTCGGTGATGTGGTGCTCACCAAGCACGTGGTGACGCTGGAGCTACCGCTCCACAAAACCGCCCAGGGCGGCGAGCGGGTCATGACTCGGCGCTCGTTGCGCTGCGCCTGCGGCGTGGCCACGCACCCCCTGTGCCCGGTCCACGCCATGTTCCGACACTTCGCGCGCCTCCAGAAGGCTGGGCGCCTTCGCTCGTCGGCGCCTCTCTTCCCGGGCGCCTCGGGAGGCACCAGGTCCAAGCCGGAGTCCCTCTCGTTCCTCGCCTTGGTGTTGGGGGCGGCCGGCCTCGAGGTGAGCTGGAAGGACCCGGCTGGGGTACAACGGCCGGTCTTCGGCGGCCACGCCTGCCGCGTCGCCGGGGCGACCTTCCTGGCCGCCCGGGGCGTGCCTCTGGCGGTGATCCAGCTTCTGGGGCGATGGTCGTCCCGCGCGATAGAAAGGTACACCCAGGCGGCGCCGTTGACATTGGCGCCTTCCGCCCCGTCGTGCGGCAGGGGAGCCAGCCCAGCAGG